TTTTTTTTAAACAGTTTTGAAAATTGAGTTATAAAATACTAAAGTATAAATGCTCAATTTCCCCCCAAAAAGGATTTCATGATTTAGCCTTTAACGCTCCTGCTGTTCTGGCCTCTGAACTGTTGATAGTACAATTAAACAAAACTTAATTACTCACATTTTCGATACATCTTTGAATGTTTACTTTGAGTGTTCATGTCCCTGTCAATCACAATAACTATTTTAAAACACAAGCTATTGGCCTTTGTTAATTCATTAATTTGTTAATCCCGTTTGCCTTATAGCGAGTCATTTCTCCAGCCGACAAATCTTGGACATTGTTTTCATTCTACGAGTCCTCAGACTGATACGGGTGGTGGACAGCATCAAAAGGTTTAACTACATTTCTTAACTTATTCATTTTCCTTGTATACAAATCATCTGTATTTGTGGTGATCCTGCAGTAATCCTTAGATGCATCAAATGAAAAACGGACAGTAGGAAGGCATGTTGCTTTACTAACAGTGAGGTCTATTTTCTTGCTAGGTTTCGTACAATCATCAACACCCTGATCAGGATTGGACCAGCAATCCTCACATTTGGACAGCTTATCATTGTGAGTTTGTGACAGCAGGCTGGTTTGTCATAGTAGCATTTGTTAACAAACACTAAAACAAAGCACAGCTGATGTTAGCCGCCCTAATGATGGTTCTGTCTTAAAAGATCCATCACCAATATGAGGGCAACCTTCAGTAGAGACTTCACTCTAAAACAGGGATGGGCAACTCCAGGCCTCGAGGGCCAGTGTCGGGCAGGCTTTAGATATCACCTGAATCAAATGATTAGTTCATTACCAGGCCTCTGGAGAACTACAAGACATGTTGTTAATTTAGCCCTTTGAATCAGCTGTTTTATATCAAGGACACATCTAAAACCTTCAGGAGACCCCCCCTCGAGGCCTGGAGTTGCCCACACCTGCTCTAAAACATAGTGAGGACCAGCCAACCTGCAAACGCTGCGTTATGCAGAGCCTCAACCTGCTGAGGGGTCTGAAAACTGAAGCTGACATTATGTTTGTGAAGATGGTTCTGTCCGTTGTGGTGTTCCTCCACAGGTGGTGTACTACATTTTTGCCATGGTGGGGATGGAGCTGTTTAAAAGGAAGGTGACGTTTTATGAACAGAGCTCCACCGATCCAGCAAAGGCATATTGTGGTAATCCTCTGCTGAATGGAACAGACTTCGCAAAGCTCAACTATTGCAGGAATAACTTCAACGATGTGGTCTCCTCCTTCATCCTGCTGGTTGAGCTTACCGTGGTCAACCAATGGCATGATATCCTTTAGCTGAATGTCTCAGCATTTTCTGTGTTTAATCTCTTGTTTTCAATTACCAGCAGCGATTTGAATTTTTAAGACGTCTTCAAAACTACAAAAACTCCCCCTTTTCTTTTCTCAGTGACTTTCATTCTACTGCAAATAAAATCATCTGCCACATTTATGAAATGTTTGAGAATAATTGCGTTGGCCAGGTTTGATTCCTGTTTGTTATCATTTCTTAACAAGACTCCACTTCTCAGCAGCGGCTTTGCCACCGTCACCCACATTTCGGCCAGGATCTTTTTTGTCCTCTTCCACATCATAGTCGTCATCGTCATTCTCAAGTAAGGCTAATGGTGTCGTACTTTCATCACTGGTGTGGTGTCAGCCACAAAAACAAGTCCTGCTGTTCCCATAATCTAGAAGAATATGTATAATTATTTATATTTACGTCTGACGCATTTTAACCACTAGATGCTTGAAGGTGAGTTGCACTGGGTGTTTTATCACAGAACTCTATCAAAGTAGAGTTTTCCCCTCAAACAGAGTCCTAGAAGTAGGCAACACTGATTCACAGTTCAAAAATATTAATTACCTGTTGCAGTCCCTCAGATATCCATTTTAGCTCCTTTCTCTTTAAGTGAAAAACTCCATTTAAACCACCTTTTTATCATCCCATCCACCTTTAAACCTCGCCTTTTATCTTGCGTTGATAACTCCGCCTACTCTGACACCTTTATTTAAACAGTAGCCATGTTTATTAATAGTGGCCACTATTGTAGCAGTGTCAGTGCCATAAAGTAAGGAAAAGGTTTAGCAAAACACTGTTTCATTTATGTTGAAATTCCCCAAAGTAGAATATGATCAGTGTAAAGGCTTACAGGATTAATGTATCAATGTGAGGGCTTTCAAAGTGGGATGTGTGTATCATATATAATACACAAAGTTTTAGATTTTGTGTGACTTTTTTGGTAGAATAGAATAATCCTTTAATTGTCCCACAAGGGGAAATTTGGTTGTAACAGCAGCCAGAAAGACAAATATACAAACAAACAGTACACAGAACAGAAACATACACAATTTTTCTTACATATTTACATTAAAGACAATAGTTACTATAAACAGAGTACTGTATGTTATTAAATTAACTACAGATAAGAGGCAAACCCAGGTTATAGTGCAAATCGGTTGATTAAATTATTGCAGTTACAGCATTGATGTAAACATCTATGATTGTTGGGAGCAGTTTTGATTGTACAGTCTGACAGCTGCAGGGAGGAAGGACCAGCGGAAACGCTCCTTCATGCATCGAGGACGCAGCAGTCTGTCACTGAAGCAGCTCTGCAGTTCAGCAACATTTACATGCATGGGGTGGGAGACTCTGTCCATCAGATATGTTATCTGCGTCCAGGGTGCATCCCAGACCAGAGCTGGCCTTCCTGATGAGTTTATCCAACCTCTTCCTCTCAGCTGCCGATAAACTGCTGCTCCAACATACAACACTGTAAAAAATGACAGATGCCACCACAGAGTCATAGAAGGTCTTTAAAAGCGCTCCCTGGACTCCAAATGTCCTCAGCCGCCTCAGCAGGTAGAGTCTGCTCTGACCCTTTCTGTAAAGAGCATCAGTGTTGTGGCTCCAGTCCAGTTTATTATTCAGGTGAACACCCAGGTACCTATAAGAGTCCACTATCTCAATGTCCACTCCCTGGATGTTCACCGGGGTCAGTGTGGTGGGTCTGCGTCTCCGGAAGTCCACCACCAACTCCTTGGTTTTCCCAGCGTTTACAAGCACGATAGAAGAAAAAGCTTGTGATATTTTAAAAAATCACAAATTAGAATCCTAAAATGTTCTTTGATATCATGGAAATATAAATGGTCCCGGTTCTGCCTCAGAAAAATGTCTTCGATATTAAACTGATAAAGTGGTTGTTCTGAGTACATGCAGTTATACAATTTGGATACGAACTGCTAAATGTTGCATGCGATTGTTCTTGTCTTTCAGTATCTTCGTGGCGTTTGTCCTTGAGGCGTTCTTTGTGGAGTACTCTGTGGATAAAAGTGACTTGCAGACATCTTTGGAGAGGAAGATTGAAGAACTGGAGCTTGCTGTGGCACAGTATGTTACCTTGCAGAGAGTGACACATAATTCACAACCCCAATACCTGCACTGTCACATCCCTGATAGGACGTTACAGCACCACCTTGTTATAGCAACACTTGAAACAGATTTACAAATTGAGGCAAAATAGCATTGATGGGTGTGATTTGTTTTGCCACACAGTCCATTTCAATATAACACGTGCAATATGTGAAGAGCCAAGCAAATTGGAGCAAGGTCGCAAACTAAGAGATGATAGTCAGCTGTGACCAAACAAGGTGCAACCTTCAAACACACACTGGCTGGATTGGACATCCAATCACATGACTACCATCTAACCACCCAGTGTGCAGCCACACCTCATCATCCTCTCTAGCTGTCTGACTTTTCCACATACATCATGTAGCACAGGATTTAACTTTAAACTTCAAAATCACCTCAAACATTTTCTTCTTTTGTGTGTTATTGCTAACATGCTATATTATACTATAACGGTCATTTTCACTCCTCAAACTACATTTA